TTTTGGCTCCTGTTCCTCTCTCCTCTCTCCCATATCAGCCTTAGCTCCACACATAACAATCTCCCCACTGCATCCTGCCTACCTGCACCATGCGCTTGACATCACACCACCAAGCAGCACAGGCACGGCCTACTGAAAGTTGCCCTGCACTGATTACCGACCCACCCTGGTGGCTGTAGTAAGTGCCACAAACAACCCTTAGCAGTAACTCCTCTTCAGATAGACCTGCCCTGCCATACCATATCTGAGTGACTCACCCTGCCAACTGGAGAAGGAGGCGAAAAGTATTGTGCCCACAGATGAGCAAACAGCAAACAACACACAGTCCGCCTGCTCAGACATAGTCAAATTTAAAAAAAAAAAAAAAAGGGACGAAAGAAACAAATCTACAATCAATAAACGAGAAAAATAACTACTGAATGCCCTGAAGACAACAGACAATATCAAAACATTTACAAAAACAGGACAGGATGGTTCCAGTAGGCGTCCAAAACAAAACACCACATGACTCTCTAGTGGAAGAAAATGCACTCGAACTACCTGATAAGGAATTCAAATCTCTAATACTCAGAGTTCTCCGAGAGCTGAGGCAAAAAGCTGACAAACAAGAGAAAAAAATAGACAACTTCATGGAAAATACAGACAAAAAATTGGAAGAATTCAGGAAAATAATGCAGGAACAAAATGCCAAAATAAATTCACAACTTGAAATTACAAATACAACAATTAGAAATCCAAAAGATGAACAACAAGATCTCAGAAATGGACAGTGTCATAGAAGGGCTGAGAGGCAGATTTGAAACGGTGGAAGACAGGATCAGTGGAATTAAAGACAAACACTTGGATACAACTCTGTTTCATGAAAACTCAGAAAAAAGAACAAAGAAAAACGAAGAGACCCTGAGAGTTATGTGGGATACAATCAAAAGCAAAAATTTGCAAGTGATTGGAATTCCAGAACACGGGGAGAAAACAGAAAACACAGAGAGGATCATTGAAGAACTGCTGACAGAAAACTTCCCCAATATCATGAAAGATGAAGAGCTGGCCACCCAAGAAGCTCAACGAACCCCATACAGGAGACACCCCAAAAGCAAATCACCAAGGCATATCATAATCACACTCGCCCAAACCAAAGCCAAACAAAGAATCCTGACAGCAGCTCATGAAAAACAAGAAGTCACATACAGAGGAGAAACAATAAGACTAAGCTCAGATTATTCGACGGAAACCATGCAGGCAAGAAGGCAATGGGATGACATATATAAAATCCTGAAAGAAAAAAATCGCCAGCCAAGAATAATGTATCCTGCAAAACTCTCATTCAAATTTGATAGTGAAATTAGGTCATTTCCAGATAAACAGAAATTAAGGGAACATGTAAAAGTCCAACCAAACTTACATGAATTATTAAAGGGAGTTCTTCGATCTGAGGACAAACAGCCTCAGCTCACAGGCAAAAGCGAGGACACAGGATTGTACCAGCCAGATACCAATCTAGGAAATGACCTCTCGAGGACTATCCAAAACCAAAAGAAGTACAACAGGGAATCAGAGCAGTTAATCACTAAATGAAAACAACATCAAAATAATAAAAGAGGGAATAAACAGCATAGGTATAGAACCTTCTAATGGAGAGGAATGCAAGGCGATACCAAGTAATGGTAGACTACTTCAAACCTAGAAAGATAAGGGTAAAATTCATGCTAACCACAAAGAAAGTTAACAAACCAACTCATAAAAATAAAGAGGAAAAACATAAAGTCTCAGCAAAAACAAAACCTACAAAAACAAAAGAAATTTTTAAAAAATCCACAAACAAAAGTAACTCAGCACAAGAGAGTAAGAAGAACAAAGAAAACTT